CAGTGCACGTTCTATGTTACGATAACAACGTATTTACACTAACCTGTTCTATGGAATACTCTTTACCAGCAACCTCTGCCACCTTAGCGATTTTATCGATATGATCCTGTAACTTCATCTCCAGACATTTACTGAAAGTCAATGACTGCTTGGGACGCACAGTGAATCCCAAGTCCTGTGACAACGTCAACCAATGACGCTCTCTCATACCTGGGTTACGCAGACCCTGGATGAGCGGGATGTACGGTTTGAAGTCTTCTACCCACTGTTTGATTTCAGTGGCTACATTCTGAACACCTGTACAGGGATAGGCAGGATGACTGGCTGTTATAGTATGATGTCAGGGCATTATTTGATCCCAAGGGCAATACGCATTCATGTAGGGCAATATCAGATGATAAGGTAGCAATCAATCAAAAATGACAATTTCATAATCAATTTTCAATCAAAAAAAGCACAATAGGTAAAAAATAATAAAACAGAGGGCATTATAGTATTGAAGACAATATCAAATTAACAACCCACAAAAGAGCAATATTGAAATGTAAGGACAGTATAAGGGAAAGAATATAGTATTTATGGTGGCAATATTCAATTTACAGTGGAGTAAGAGATACAACATACAAATATAGTTTGATAAAATGATAATACACAATCAGGTACAATGAGATAATAAGCAAACCCACAAAATATTCATAACAACACCACACAGTATCAATAAAAGCAGGAAAGTGACAATGTAACAGGTCATTACAGAATGCACAGACCCAATCAAAAGCCATGCCACGTTAAGGTGGAATGCAAAAAAAAAATGAGATCAGAACCCAAAGATTTGTGAAACGGTGCATCCATGATTAGTGCAAAGAGATAGCAGAGAGAGATTTCAGAATAAAGATTTGGTTAGAAAGTAATACATGAATGTGTTCCCTAGGAATAAAGTCGATGATTAGTATTTCAACTTTAATTAATTTGTGACTGCAAAACAACTCAAGGGCACCTTGTCACGACAGCATAAAGTATGCATCCAGAATAAAAGCCATAATTATAATTAATTTTGAAATGCATGAAGTCATATATGAAAAACAGAATGGAAGCAACATCAAGCTGAAAACTGGTTTGTTTGTGATAACATACCGGGAATATCCTTGAAGAACTTGACACATTTATGCATTGTTTTGTACGAATCCATAACAGTTCGTTCACACTGCTCGGCATCAATTGACGTCAGCGGATCGTTCATCCAACTCTCATGCCATTTCAGCCAATCAGAGGTGGTCAACCAGAGATTCTTGAATGGCTCAAAGTCTTTGACCAATCTAGCTAGTTTATCATACTGAAAATCAAAAGTATAATATTGAATAGGTTAGTATTTTTCTCTGGTGATAGATACTCTAGCATTCGTATTTTTTCCTCATCAGCGTGGTGTTTATTTTTTTTATTGGATACTTACGTTTGTAATTGGTAAGTCAAACAGTCTCTCTCTGTTGTTGTACATACTCGCCAAGGTCTGACACTCCTTCAGTTGTTTATTAACACGACGTACTTCATTCGCGACTTCATGAGCTTTATTGATATCCGTGTGAGCAGCAAAACCAGCGACAACCATCTGTGTGTATTGGTGATAATAACGTTAGTCAATAATACAAATTACAGGATGGTAAAGACAGTTAAATGAATAGATCTACATTCCAAATCTTAGTTTGTGTGAACCATGGATATTAGTTACACAATGACATCAAACGTTACACAATTGACCTTCTTTAAATCTATAACAACGTCATGTATTAGTTGTATTGGGGAGGGGAGGTGTTCATGCCATTATAAAACTATGGGTACATAAATGTCATCAGATTAACATGATCCAAAATTAAAGTCATGTTCTGCTATAGTAACAAAGAGTGTGCGCAGTTATCACACTGTTACCAGAGCAACACAAATTTAGGTACAATTTTTTTATCAGTGTTGGTAGATTCAAATAATTATTTTATTACTATACTCTGCAAACATTTTCAAAAATTTGAAGAGTTATATACATGTATCACAATATAAATAGTGTCTGGAAAAATAACGAAATATTGTAGCAGTGAACAATTCTTTTGGTGGTTCTTAATGACAAAAAGTGACAGTAAATTTTACTGGGGTCTTAAAGAGTAACAGAGGTCTGGGAAATTACGTCCTCACAGATATACGCACAAATTTTCAAATTGAAAATATTCTACCAGCAAAAATAAATTAGTTTACGATGCATTTGCGACATGCATGGAATGATGGGAAGGATCAACTTCTTGTGGGTGATACCATTATTATAGCAGGGAGATTAAGTCAAATGCGAAGGGTCATTTTTACTGATATATGACAAAAAGTGCTTTTTAAATACAGCAAATATAGCAACCATGAGATGGCTCATACCATTATCAAAAAAGGGGGTTGATACCATTACCATTACATACCAAGGGGTGGCAGGTGTGAGTTATAAATTTATCATGCATACAATGTATTTACAGCATGCTACATTTTATGAATAAATTATAACCATGCATGATGCTATACCTTAGGCATCATAAAACAGAAGAGTCATGAGCTGCAGAGAATTTTGTTTTGAAAACTCAATTGATTGTAAACACTTTCCACGGATTTTAGGAAGGGATGAAGTGGAATCAGTAAGCAGGTCATTTAATTTTCTATACTTAGTTGGTAGCATTTTATTCCACTGTAAAAAAAAACAATTTTGTATCAATAACTTTAATTAATGCCAAAATAAACTTTTCTCAAATTCACAAAATAGTATGTACAATATGTGCATATTAATTAAGTAATTTGCATATCATAAACGTTTTAAATGCTGCATAATTGTTTGAGGAATTTTAATGGTATTTGGGATGTGAATATGTCCAAACAAACATTGAGAGAGGTACAAGTGGAACTACAACAACTAGCTGAAGTACAAACGTGGAAAGAATTGAAACATTGAGTTTTCACAACAAAAGCTGGCAGCCCCTCCCCATATAACCTTAAACCAGCATGGCATCACATTAAACCATTACATAAAATTGAAGGGAGTGATAACAAGAGCAGAAACAGCTTCTTATATGTGAAGTGTTATAACAAAAATCAAGTGCATTTAATTATCGATTATCATGTGAATGGAGATAAAAAGATTAATGATAATGATTATGAAATGATTTGATTATGATAATGATATAATCCCAATAACACAACACATAGCAACCAGGAACGGATGCTTCTAAGACAACTCCATGCAATGAAACCACAGATATAAGTGGCTGATGATGATTCACAGGACAACGTCAATTAATATTTGCTTTCCTGTGTGTTTTATTCTCTTGTTTTTTTGTTTTATTTTAGTACTACACAGTTTCCTCATTGTTGGCCAGTATAGTTTTAGTGCATAACAGGAATACACCAAATCTGAGTGCACAGTCAGTGTAATATTGGTCCACAATCGAGGCACTATGATTATATTTGAAGCAGTACTGTACTGAATGTAAGGATAGTCCTCATATACAGTGTTGTATTACTGTAGAATACTTTATTTTCGCTATTTTCGCTGAAGGGATGATTCCGTGAAAATAAAATCCAGTGAATATATTTTTTTCCTATATTTCACATTAAACTAATCAAAATTCAGTAAAAATAAATTCCATACAAAACAATCAAAAAGCCTTTTCAGCGAAAATTAATTCCAGCGAAAATAAAGTATTTCACAGTAGTCTAAAACAAAGTCATTGCTTTTAAATAATTGTTTGGGACATTATTTCTTTTGGCATCTATTAGATCTGTGAAATTTTCGTGACAAAATGCAGCTAAGTTAATTTAACAGAATGGATTATATCACCACTGATGGTACATGGAGTTTGATGACATTTTGATTAAAACAATACATATTTGTGAGTGAGACTTTGTGATATTAACACTTCTACAAACAATTGGTGAAATAAACAAACACTTATTATTAAAACAACGATAAAAACAAATGTGCTTTTTTGTTGTGCTAAATGTGATGCATTATCGCCGATATAAAAAAGAGATTTCATTGCATGGACCTGTAAAGTATCCAGACGGTCTTGGAAGTTGTTCTGATCCGTTATTTGGATCTTTTGGAAGCGCTCTTGATCCTCTTCTAACTGTTTGTTGACTTGTTCCATCTGTATGTCAATCTTGTGTGGCCATGCCACTGCTGTCCATCTAAATAAGGACAGGGTAAAACAGTGAAATGTTAGTAGAATAGATTGCAGAATTTAAGAACAGAACGAATATACTTCAGACTTTTGAATAACTGGTAAAAATGTTATCTGCTTTTTTTATATAATGAGCTCAAAGAAAATACACAAATACAAAGCGGTATAATTTCGTGAGGTGAATTTTTATGAAAATCATGAAATCACTAAAAATCGTGAAGATTCCCAGAAGTGAAAAATTATAGTAACATGTTTATAGCCATCACTGATAATAACTGATCATACAACGCAATTGTTCTATGGTCAAGCAAACATAAATCAAGACAGACTGATTTAAATTATTTTGTAACATTATTTTTATATTTTAATTCATGTTGCCAAGTCAAACTTCAGGATTGAAGATTGAAGCAACTAGTAATAATTCAGAAAACTTGATATTTAAAAAGTTCAGTCTAAAATTACAAATAGAAAATAATAAGTAGTGGGGGGGGGGGG